CCCCAAAACCCCAAAACCCCAAAACCCCAAAACCCCAGGTGTTAAAATTCATTGAAACACGAGATCCAAATTAAGAATTATTACTCAATAAAATTACGCCAATAGTATTTGAGTAAATTCTCATCTCAGATGTCTTCATTTCTGGTCTACTTCGAGTGGGCCACAATTTCTACATGGCCGAACCCATGCTTGACCAAGATTTCTTCTACTGTCTCAAGCTCCATTCCACATTCTCGCATCCTAATCCCCTGCAGATTGTTCTTAAAGTCTTGTTCCTTCGAAAGCCCTTCAACAAGGTTTTCAAAATGGGACTCGTTGGTGGCCCAGTCGCCGTAATCACTTCCCCCTCAGGAGTCCAAATGTAATATTTCGAGTGTGCTGCCTTCAAGTCTGCCTCCGAAGTCAGGGACAGACGAAAGAGAGAGTTTGCAATTGGTAAACCCAAATGGTTCTTTGTGTTTATTGGCAGCAAGGAGAGTGGTGAGTTGGGACTGAGAAACTTCAAATTTATAAATGAACAATGCCTCCCAAACTCTCTGGCTCACTGCTGCCAATTCGTCCATGTACAGGGGCAGGGAAGATGACAGAGGGGAGGAGAAATTAAAATGGAAGATCCTCACTTTAGAAGGAAACCGACTGCCCAGGAAGGTTTTGACCTCCTCGCTGTTTAAAGGGATTTTACGAAGGCTGAGTATCTCTAGGTCAGGCATTTGCTGTTCTAGGGAGGTCAAGAACTCCATGTGCTTGGGGTTGGTGAGGGAAAGTGTTAGTCTGGTTTTAGGGTTGATTTGCCTGTTTTCTCCTGTTTTAAGGATAAAATTGTAAAGACAGCTGAAGTCAGAGTAATCAGAAACGTGGAGAGAAGCTATCATCAATTGCTTCATTGTTTCATAGTTCTTCTCCTCCTCCTTCTTGATCTCCAGGAGCTCTTGGGTCTTCTTCTGTGCCTCTTTAAGTCTCATGTCAGCTGACTTAAGTTTGTTTTCCTTGATAGCTTTGTTCTTTTCTAGAGCTTCCTTGCTGTTTTGAAGGATTTTTTTTTGGTCATCAAGATCTTTCTGTAGTTTATTTTTGATGACCTGTAAGTTTGATTCGTGGGCCTCCTGAAGTTGCTTCATATTTGCATTGTGACTGGATATTAGCCCTTCTCGCTGCTGCTTGAAGGATCTATCAGACTCCATCATTTGAGTCTTTACCTGATCAATCTTTTCATTGGTTTCATCAATCTAAATTTGACACAAATGAGGAAGAAATAAGTTAGCAAATTTTCACCTGCTTTTGAGGCTACTTAGCAATGAAACTAAAGATACGCATCACTGCAGGAAGCTAAATGCAAGAATCTAGTTAATTTGTGCTCATAAGCTATGAGCCATAAAGTTTGGTGGTTTCCTTACCTCTTTCTCGCATTCTTCTTTAATCGTCTTGGCTTCGACATTGAGTTTCTGAGCATACTCTCTGACCTTCTTCTGGCTCTTTAGTTGGAAGTAGTTGATTCTGCCCATCCACTTCTCATCTCCTTCAGGGTCGTTGTCAGAATAAATCTTCTCGATGTATTTCCTCGAGGTGAACTTCACAAAGAGATCTTCTTTCCTCAGTGAATTGAAAGCATCTTGGGCTCTCATTTGGATGTCTTTGTACTTGAAGTATTCATCATATTCGGCAGCTTGTTTGAACTCTTCATTCAGTTCGTCAATCTTCTCTTGGTAGTTGGCTGCAAGTTCCTGGTACTCTTCAAGATCCATGCCATTGTTAGCCTGTGTGAAGAACTCTAAGAAGTCTTCAACAGCAGTTTGGACCCATCCGATTGCGTCTTCAGTCTTAGCATAAGTCACAAGTCTGATAGCTTCGTCTGTGATCTTTCTCTGGTCCTTGTGCTTCGAGCATTCGTAGATTTTATAATCCGGTATATAAAACTGAGCCTCTTTGTCTCAGATTCTTTGGTAGCAAGTGGGATTTTCCATTTACACAATTTAATTATTTAAGATTGCATGTGAATATATAATGCATCAGTCGCCTGGCCTCCTCCTGGGGTTTTGGGGTTTTGGGGTTTTGGGG